TATATATATATAATTAAACGAACTTTATGGTTGTACGGCAGTGAAGCATCAGTGTCAATACTGATGTTGCTGTCATTGATGATGATGATGAGTATTAGCGGTAAAACAAAACTGTTATGGCGAGCTGTTATTGTTTGTGAAAGATAAGGGTATCCTTTTAATATACCAGTTTGAACTGTTACTGTTACTTATTTCTGTGTGTTCGGTTGATAATGAAGAACGTAAAAACGGGAGTTCTGGAAATGACGAATTTCGAAAACAGGCAATTAAATCCTGTTGGTTCAGTCTTTCAGCATAGCTGCCATGCCACCCGAAGGAAGTGCGAGGCCTGGGATACTACCAAGTTGCCCAAGCCTAGACAGAAACAGAGGTCGGGTTCGAACCACGGACCTTGCGCTCAGTAAGTTGGCGCTCCAACTACTTTGCGCCTTCATGAATGCGCCTGTCACGGCCATACATACATACATTTGTCACTAATCATATTTCGCTGTGAGCCACATTCATTTGATATTCGCCTTTAGTCTGCGTGACCGTTTTTTCATTCGACAATGGTCATTCCGCACGTTTTATTCAAAATAGAATATTGAAAGTGGCTCTTCGTTCTGAAACGAGATCGTCAAATATTTGCGCAATGTCGTGGATTTTGCGTGTGACACGGCTCTACGGGGTCCGATTGAGCACAGAACTATTCCTGTCAACTTTGAACATACTGCAATCCAGCGTTCTGTATGATATTCACTGCTTGATCGGACCTGGTAGCGTCGTGCTACAGGCAAAATCTAAGACACTGCGCAAAGATATGACGACCTCGTTTCAAAACGAATTGACATCCGATGGTACAACAATTGGAAGAGTCTAGAGGACTATTCTATCGAACTTCTAATTTCGATACCTGTCATCCTGAAGTTTGCTAAGCGAGCTGTCAGCTTTTTACGTAGCCCACGGCAACGATGAGGAAAGCGTATCATGATGCACACATGGTTAAAATACACGTGTTTCAAAATGACCGGTTCTTGATCCGCGCCGTCGGTAACTGATGGTGATGTGATCGATTTGGGTTCGTATTTGGCACGCTGTTTGAGGACACAATGTGACCAGACGACTTTGCTTATTCTGGAAGCTAGCGCTGCAATGAAAAAAGTCGGCGTTCAGCACACACTTGAAGCAGTCGTTCGCCAGTGTCAGTACTTACCGAGTCTCATCCAAGTCGGCCACCCAATTGAGTGACAGAAACGCTAGACCTGCCCACTTGTGCATTCGGATCTTTTGCAACCACATGAGCATTTAGCCCGCGGCCACAGGGCACTCAAGGCACCATAAAAATTGCATTTTGGTATCAGAGCTACAGTCGGTTAGGGGCGTAAGCAAGCACGACAAACAAGCAACCATCAACTTCCAGGTTGCGAGATGGATTGCTTAGACAGAGTTGTCAAACGCATTTCACTGTCATATGGTGTCTTATTGCGAAACATTACCATAATGCGTATGGCCTCGAAAAGTGGTGAAGCTTTGCTGACCACTTATCCGTTTACGCTTTTGACGTGAAGGTCACTTTAAACTTGACAGAACCGATGAGTTGTGTGCACTTTCCTCGCCAGCACTTTAGATGCGCATTCACGAGGGTAGGGAAGAATCATACTTCTCGATTTTTCATCATAAACATGGTGGGCCCACTTAAGCTTACCGTAAGGAGTACAGTTTAAGAATACCCATGGATAACCGTAACAAAGTCGAAGCGGGCCTTCAGTGAAAAGGTAAGAAAAACGGTGGGGATTTGTCTCACACAGCTGTTGGAGATATAGCACACTTTCGTGTTTTTCAGCCATTCTGTTGGACATATTTTGGTGTGGAATGTTACCGCGTTGATCTGCTGGAAATTTAATTCACATGATTAATGCACTACAGGCAACTGAGCGTGTCGGACGTTATTTTCTCTCTGTATTTCGATTCATCCAGTTGATGAGCTAGAAACTCCTCGGGTTAATATTACCATTACTTTGAACCCAATCCCGGTATCTTGGTCACTATCTCATCTCATCTGTAGAGGGGACGAGATGGGCCAAGTGGTTAGAGCACGAATTTACTGCCCGGAAGGTCCGCGGTTCGAACCCGACCTCTGCCTCTCGACTTTCCCTGTCTAGGCTTGGGCAACCTGGCAGTATCCCAGCCCTCGTGCCTTCTCCGTGTGGCATGGCAGCTTGGCACCGAAAGGGTGCTACAGCCGAATGATTTGGTCACTGATTTCTTGGCTTGAGCAAACCAGCCACAGATCAACCCATGTGCCTCAAGCTGAATACCTTGTTTGCAGTACCTAGACCACAGAGAAGATTTTTACGTCCTTGCAAGCACTGCCAGTGCTCACTTCTCTCCATATTTTTTTTATTTCTTCTTCGTTTTTTTATGCGCCCGAAAGTTTACATTCAGTGTTTTTGTTGATCTTACACAGGGTCTGACCGTCACAAACGTTAAAGATGTGTGTATGAGCTACTTCTATGACCGATGCCCAGCTGTGGCCTCTTTGGGTAAGTTGAGTGAACGTCATTTGTGTACTCCACTAGCAAACTATTTTTGAATTCATTGCTTCATCCTTTGTTTTCGTAATTTGTGTAGATGCACTCAAAAGTAGTGTGATTCTCAGTGGTGATATTGATGATGCACTTAAACGCATAATGTTGCAGGTCAGTTTTTGATATTGCCAAACGGGATGGATAAGAACCATTCATTGCTCCGTCTAGTGGTTCTTCCTTTCGTACAAGCGCACTCGTGAGTGAATTTATCAAAGAAGCGAATCAGAGGTTATGGTCCCATTTCTCGCGCCACACTAGAATCTCACTTGTACGCGTCGAAATGTGAACTTCTTTCCCGGTCACGGGAGAGGGAGAGTCGTAGATGGCTGTCGATTCTGATGTCCCCGTAAAGGCCACTGCTTGTAACTTTTCGTCAGACAATCGCGTGCGGATCTGCATCTTTCTACCCGCAACTCGTCGCCAATTGTTCCGTTTCGGGGACTTTTCGCGGCTCATTGTGTGTGGTTGTACGGCAGTGAAGCATCGGTGTTGAACACTGATGTCATGCTGTCGATGATGATGATGATGATCATTGTTTTTGTTTAGTCCCCGCCGACTAGCGTTGACCATTGACCTTCACCTCCCATGCTCGATTCTAAACAGAGGCGACTGTGTGCAGTGCGCTTCATTCAAATGCTCCTGTGTAGCCCTAAGAGCTTTCCGGTAAATGAGTCCTCTCGTACCATCTACGACTGTGGTTCTTTCTGGACAGGATGCTACAACTATGCTCGTGGTGCATTATTGATTGTTGATGTTCGTTTGGATCTATTGATGCCGTGGTCATTTTTCTACGGAATCTACTGCTGATTAGGCTCTTATTTTTTATTTCTTCCTTTTTGTACAGGTCCAATCGAGACGATGCTCGACTACAACCGTCTGCGTGACAAGACCTGGTGGCTTCGACTGTAAGCCTCACGTTTCAGACCGTGTAGCGTAGAGCCAGTTCGAGCACGTCCCCAAACCCACAGGCGACGACCGCCTCCCCACAGTGTGACTAATAAAATTTCTAACAGTTTCCTGAGTTTCTGTTGCTTTTGTGGGTGGTCCACCTGCATATGTACTTATTTTATCTTGTGACGTCGATTAATTTTACTGACTTGTTCCTACACAAGGAAACCCGGATCCGTCAGCAGCGTTTTGCAGTTGTTTGACTGGGTCTCGCTTAAGTTGAAAATTTGCACTTATTATGACAGTTGGCCCGTGCTGGAACGCATTTCCGGCATTTGGTAGCTCTCCGTAACCCTTTTGTATGGTGTTGTGTTCGCTTCCAAATTCAGATAACCCACGAGAGCTACAGATTGATGTTGAAATTGACAAGGTGCTTTTGATTCTCAGTACACAGAGGAGAGGAGAGCCTATGGTCATGAAGTCTTCCGTAATGAATGATGAAGAGCAACACAAAAACCTTCATGGTTTAAAATAAGCTTCACAAGGGGTTGAGGTGGAGTTAACTCGACTTTCGAATGATTTGAGGTTACATAAGTTGGACCAGATAGAGGGCGGCAAAAGGTTCCAAAGACGGGCTATTCTCAAGATGAGAAGGGATGTTCTGCAGCGTTTGGCGCCCCGAAGGTTTGCGGGTTATCATCCTCCAAAATGGTATTGGTGGGGCGCACACGGTTACCTGGAGTGGATTTAAGCAGGGATAATTAAGAATAGGGACCTCTCTCGAATATGACAGCAGTGTTTTAGGCTAGGAAGAATGAGGGAGTTGTGAAGAAGAATCTGGAAAATGGATAGTGCGTCTGCGTGACATTAGACGAAACCAACCTGCCTAGAGGTTCGTGGCCCCAGCAATCCCGATGTTAGGTTGACGAATATGTTTTCGGCAAGGTCATTTCAAGTCACAGTTACAAAGGCTAAGACAGGTATTTAACAATTTAAGGAGCATGGTGTGTATGAAACTGGAAACCAAGTGAGGTACTTCATTGGCCACCTTCCAGTTGGTTACGTACTACCAGGTAGTCAGTGCCGTCCCTCACTTGACTTCCTGCTTCCTGTACATTGTGCCCATTAATTTATGTTAGATACTCCTATCTTAGTCTTTGCAACATTATGAATTAAAAAGACCTTGCTGAAAACATGTTCGTCAACCCATCTTTCCTACTCTAAATGGGAATTTTCGGAATATTATCAATACAAGACAAGCCAAAAAAGATGAGGGAGTACGGACCCAGGGTCAGTGATCGGTCTCCTGTTTGAGTCGGGGGGCCAAGTGGTCAAATCCGGACGTGGTCAGGCAAGAAGATCGCAGGGGAGTTTGTCAAAATTGATTGATTGGTCAGAGTGGGAAGAATGTTTGCCAATTGGTAGGACAAATGTTCCTATTCTGAGGGAAAACATCAGTGGGTAGGAGCAAACTAAGGAGACCCGAAGTGACGGGTCAGTTCAGGAGCAGAGTTTCGAACTAGTATGCGATGGGTGTCAAGCGTATTATAAGTATAGACTTTCAGTTGGCCCACAACCAGGCCGCCGAATACGGACTATGCTGATTGACATAAATCGGCAAATTTGATGCGCCCAGATGTTGCTCGAAACATGTCTACCGTAGAACTTGGTTCAGATCCACATCTGCACAATCATCAACGGCTCGTTGCTTCTTGGGTCCGCGACGAGGATCCTGAAGAGTTGGGACTAACCTCCTAACGGATGGCGTACATACGACTGGCTGCAGTGGCCGCGCTGTGCTGCGGCCAGCATTGAAGAGTGCCCATGAACCATGTCATTTGTGCTAGTTCTAGTCTGGTTTGCTTTGCGTCGACCGGCGTTTTCTATTACTCTCAAACGTTCGGTTTTATCGCATTTGTGAATCAAGTTCACCGTCGTAATTTTGGTTTGATTCGCCGGAACCACCTTCCCGGGAGTGGGCATTGACTGGTTGACCGGACGAATGAACTGCAAGTGACCGTTTTATTTGGTGAATATTTCTCTCAAGGCTCCCGTGGCTCAGTGAAGTACTTGCCAAGTTATTCAGTTGGTTCAGTCAAGGCGAGTGATATATTTGGGATGGAGTATCTAGTCACGGCCCCGCCCACTTCCCCGTTGTTGACGGACATTGACGGTGTGTGGAATCTGATTTCCTAGGGATATCTCCACCGGAGGTTCAACAGCAACTTATGGAGAGTTGGCTTTCATTGTTGAATACCATATCCAGTTGCTTTGAGCACCAATGCAAAATACCTTCATGGGGGCAATCTCGAGACAGCTTTCCAAAGGATTTCCGCCGTGCACTACCCTCCAGAAAGCCATGTAATAAGTTATTCCGATTGGCCTACATGTTGCGATTAACTTGCATTGAGGTTTGTACCCCATGGTAGTGTCTGATGGATATGAGGCTGAGGATTTGGCAGTTCCTGTTGGCACTGTGTGCTTTGGGTTTCAGGACGGGATTGGGTTCGGTTTCTATTATCCTCTACCATCGTCTGTAGACTACAGACTGTCTTGGCTTACTGTGACAGAACGATCACAATCTATTATTAGTCTACAATGATGACAACTTATCAAAACTGAGATGGGGGTAGATGTACAGTGAAGGTTTAGGGAATATGAAAGGAGCTGTAAAACGGCCACAAGGGATGTAATAAGGGACCTCATTAGAAAAACCCTGCAGAAAGGTACATGAACGGAAAATTAAAAGTGGTGGTCTCTGGTATAGTTGATCAGATCAGCTGCCAACTCCGACAAAAACGCCACCAATAATGAGTATCCGAAATTTGATAGGTTCTTATGTTTCCTAGTCGGAACCCCCGTATCGAGCCTCTGATTCACACAGTAATCTGGCGTAAGAATGTTCCTGACCGTGTAGCGGCGTATGCTACCGATGAAGCATGTGAGTAACATTTGGTCCACGAAGTTTAAAGCGCCGCCACGGCATCTGATTGGAACATGATCGAGAAAGGGTTGAGCCATCTGTTGATTTGCGGTAATTGCTAAAATGACGTCAAAAAACCTCAGGACTCAGTCTGAGAATGTTGACTTTCTAAAAAACTGTCAGTTGGGCTTTTTGTTTTCGTGTTCTCATGACCGCCCCATTAATATTTCATAATGAATGATGCATTCTGAGGCGTCATTCCTTTCACCCATAATTTTCGGCCTGACATTCTGACCTCCGCATACATATATCGGATGTGTCCTTAATCTCCTACGACTTTTACCTCCTGGTCTTTGAATTTTCTGTCCGAACGTTGTTCAAACCATTTTCTTGGCAAGCGTTTACATTGCATACTGGGAACGTTTTATCATGAAGATATATTTAGCCGCATAGTATTGCTGTTCAGGTTCCTGGACAACCAGGACAAAAAGCTTGGCAACACTGACTGAATTTTTAGCCCATGATGACCTAGCACCTTTACGACCACCAAGGTAATGTGACTTCTGTCCATTAGCTAACATAGTGGCAATCCTGAGTGCATCGTGTACCAACTAGGTCAGCAAGCGAACTGAGCTTCCTCACCAGTATAAAGTCTGATATCACATGAGAACATTGCAGCCATTATTGCATACTTGACCAGATGCTGTATCAGGACTTCAGGAAGGTACCAATCCTCCCTCAGTTTTGCCGCCCACTATAATGGGGGTCAAACACTTAAGATTTCTCCAAATAAAGAGAGGTGGGAAATTCGCATTGCGTGATCCGGCCTTCAATGAACGATTGCTTTTGCTGTGGGCCTGGTAAATTCTTATCAAAACCATGTTTGATTAAACCAGGGAACACCACGGAATGTAGTGATTCTAACATGGCTAGTATAGATGGTCATTGGTTTGTTTGCTGAGCTGGGCGGGTTGGTTACGTCGGTTTGATCGCAGTCAGATTGTCCAGCTCAGTGAGTAGACCAACAACCATCTACACTACCTGAGCTACCATAATCTCTAATTTCCTAGATAGTGCGGCGGATTATGATGATTAAGTGTCACTTTTGTTCACATATGGGTTGCAGACAGTCGACTTCTTCCCTCTTAAGATAAGATAGATACGAAAATTTAGGAATTCATGTGATTTGGCTCGTCACCCATCGATTTACCAATCACACTCAAGTAATTATATGTAACGCCTCAGTTGATCAATAAATCAGGTTACGCAACACAGAAGGTTCAGGTCTTAAAATAAAATTCTGTTACGTGCTTCGCTTATACATACCAGGATGCCTCATGTTTAACAAACATGTCCACAAAATGAGCTGAACGAAGGGTGAGAGCGAAAACCGTGCTCGAAGAAGTTCCATGAATTGTGCGAACTACATTTGGAAGTGCCTCGAAAGAGTCCACTCATTCCAGACCATTATAACGAAGGTTAGTACTTGAGGATTAATTGACCGCGAATAGGCGTGAACTGGCGGTTATTCAGTTGCCCGCACACAGAGTTTCATCCACCCTCGTAACTCACTACTCTATGTACTCAGCGATGTGTCTTCTTTTGTCTTCTATTTGTTACACCTATCCCCATATAAGGCTTAACTACAGATACCTCTTCGTAGGGATCATTTTTCAGTTCTTCAATTTGAATAGGCGGGACATGTTTCTACAGGGACCTCCAGACGTGTGATTCGAGAGGCACATAGAGTAGTTTAGATCCATAAATCCACTTATTACTACCCAATCGATGTAATGTCTCTCCCTCGGGACTTGAACATGAGAGTTCTTCACAAAATAATGAACGTGGGATCTGCAGTTGTGGAATGTAGTTTTTTTGACAGATTTTTGTCTGCTTCACTCAAAAGCGGGATGAGACTAATCGGGAGAATGAAAAAGACGATTCACTTAGGATCAACTTTGGACTTAACAAAATGTGGGTCTTCAGTGGCAAAAAGATCTCGTTTTAAAAAGAAAAACGACGGGAAAGATCAAGAAAAAACGAGATGCTTCTATGATACAGACATTTCTGAGAACAGATGGGTATTTTGACTGCTGTTGACCGGCAATTTTCGACGCAGGACTCCATCGTATAAAGCGTCCTTCTTACAGAGGCAATAGTGTAGGTGTGTGTGAGAATAAGTAACTAACTACTCGTGGATACGAACTAAGTGAATGCAATTACTCGGCTTGCCAGAGAACCTTTTTCTTAATACTGATAATAACCCCACACAAAACTCGTTTTTGCTTTCCTCAAGAGTGTCAATTATCAATGAGGGTGACCATATTTCCTATTCGTCTTAGTTTCACACCCGTGAATGTGTTAATCATCAAATTTTCAGTGCAAATACCTTTGCTGTGACACTGTTCATAAGATTGAAGGTAATTCCTGGACAACCCGCTATTAGTTTCGCAGTATTTGGGGCTCATTCGGTAAGTCAACCCCCC